CTTAAAGAAGCTCTTCAACTATCTCTTCTGTGGACTTGTGCGATTCTTCCTATTTAGGAATGCTGATAATTCTTAAGTTATTCCTCTTCATGTTGTCCAACATGAATCTTAGGTCGTCTTCAGATTTTTTAATCCTTTTTTCTGTTTGCTCTTCTATCTTAGCAGTGTTGATAGATTTATCTTCTAGCTCACTAGTTCTAGCTTCTATCTCTTCAATTCTACTCCTTTGCCCTTTCAGTGTATTGTCTATTTCTCACATTCTATTATTAATCGTTTGGGCCTCTTTCTGTAGGTTTTGAATTGTTTCCAATGCTGTATCTACCTTATTTGATTGTTCCTGTAGCGTTTTCCTGACTTCCTTATTTTTGTCAACTCCACTGTATAGTGTCGTGATACATTTTATAATCATTTTTCTGAATTTCTTCTCAGGCATTTCAAACGCCATCCCATCTTCCAGTATGGAGTGCAGGTCTACTTCCAGCTCATTTGTCACTTTATCTTGTTTCTGGACATATGCAGATATGGTCATCTGTTTCTGTTTTCTGGGCATAGTCAGGAGTTGTCTATGGCCTTAATACTCAGATGGATGTATATTTTGGTATTTTTTTATGCTTTCTGATTGCCTCCAGGTAGATGTGATCAGGAGATGGGCTTCCCGTTTCACTCTTCTTCCTGAGAAATTTCAAGATGCCACTGTTGGTGGTTGTGACGTATCTCAGGATTTAATTTTCGACCTATTTCCTTTTTAGTCTGCCTGTCCCACTCCACAACCTCTGTTCAGGCCCTTTTCCTAGTGATAAATAGTTCAGGGCCGGCTGTGGCCATTTTGCACTGCCATTTGGTTTTAAGTGGACACTGTGACTTTAAATTTCAAGATCTGTGCACATGTGTAGTAGAATCTGGTGGGGGCTGGGGGTGGAGTGTCCACTCGCTCAGGCACCCCCTCTAGTTACCAGAATAGAGGTGCACAGACAGTGAGAAACCAATAAACAGGTAAGAAAGAAGAATGCCCACACCTTTATCTCCGTGGTTCTGTCAGATGTCTACAGCTGCTCTGACCCTTCCCCCGCTTGGTCTTTCCCAGTATGGTGGCTCCGGGAGCAGCTGAGCGTCTTGAATTAGAATACAATGGATTTCTTGCTTCTGCTACAAATTCCCCTGGCTGTAAGTCTTCCAATCTTCTAAATATTCCTTTATATATGGTTCAGAATTCTGGGATCATCCCCTGAACTTGCTTGGTCTGGTATTCTGTGTTGTTGCTGACAGAGATCCTCACTGTACTTCCACCCTCTCCACCATCTTGTTTGCTCTACTGTTTCTCTTTTCAAGTGGGAATTTCCCACCTTAGAAGATTCTGGGTGGGGATCCGGATTCCACCTAAGGTCTTATACACTATCAAGGCTCTGCAGGAAACCTCTTTCACTGGGCAAGTTCAAGTACCCCTTTTAGGTATTCCAATCAGTTATAGGCTGAAGACAGACTTAAAAGCTTTCTGTAATGATGTTTCTGGCAATTTCTTTCTCCCCCCATCAAGTGTCTATTTTACAATAGTAGGCAAGGGAAACCAAGGTTCCTAAGACAGTTAAGCATCTTAACATTATTTTCCTTCTTTTACCCATTCAGACTATGCCTCAATCCCTGTATCACAGAGCCCTGTTTTTCCAAGGTTGAGCATAATCACTATTTATCTCTGTCCAATTTAGCCCATACAAACCTGCCTCAGTGTTCCTGTATCTACCTGGTTCTTCCATTCCCTTCCCCCTTTATGTGTCTTGCCCTCCCGCCCCCACCGGTAATCAAGAATTTTTTTTTCCCTT